ACAAGCAGGAGCCCATCCTCTTTGTCTGACGGCATACCCTGCTGCTTGTGAGAAGAAAGTGCTTCCTGCTCCTTCTGAATAGTCACAGTGCAGGGAAACCACATGATAGCGCTAAGTCTCAAAAGCAGAACCACCACATCCATGTACTTACATCCCCACATGGCTGTATGTCAACTTTTCCCTGACTCAGCCACCCCCAGAGCCCTGGCCCTTGGCCCTGGCCCAGCTGAGGGGGTTCCCACTGGCACAATTGTCTCCTTCCTCATATTCAGGGTTTATAACAGCCCTGAATACCCATCTCCCTGCCCTGAATAACACGGTTCCCATTTACTCCCCAGCCTCCAGAGAGTGCTGCCAGCCTCTTCACAGCAGAGTCAGAGCTCTCCACCATGTCAAGGAACCTCAATCAGTGAGCTCTTTCAAACACCTTTAATGAAACAGCCCAATTGCTACGGCGAATAACAACCTAGGCCTACAGCCCAGCACAAAGGGCTCCGGGTGCTACCTGCTGAGGATGAGAGCCCAGGGAACTGAGCAGCATGTGGGAGAGGGTCAAGGGGAAAAGCTGAGCTCATTGCATCCCAACCAGACAACATCAGGCAGGAAACAGATGTGCAACAAACCACTGCGGGGTGCAGCAGCAGCAGGCTTAACCCTCCAGCAAGTGGGGGAAGCTGGGACACGGAGATGACTTGCAGTCTAAGAGCAAGGCATCTAATCTGAGATTTGACTTTTTGCTGTCCTGTTAGCACCTCTCATCCCAGTGTCTAGACACCATCATTTTAAAAATGGAGAAAATGATTTAGTCTTCTTCTGGAGCAAAGGTGGGTTTGGGTTGGTAGTGGTTCTTGCACAAAAGCCTGGACTATCTTTTGTTAGTGTAATCAAACTTTTACAGATGCTGTGGCAGTTTCCATTAAAAAAAAATGAAAGTGGTACCTAGCTGTGTATCTAATATCCCGGTATTGACCTCCCACAGTTAGAAAAACTGGGAATAATACCCATTTTGGCTTAATCCCTCCCAGTTTAACTGCTTTGTCTTTTTCAGGCCACTCCTGCAACGCTTCTGCTAGACTACTCGTCGTGACTCTTTTCTTAAGCAGTCCAGACTGTCCTGACCCAATTAAGGTTCATGCACAGCCTTGAGTCTTGTCTTCTTTGCCAGCCCATCCATCACTATAAAATTATACCGTTGTTATTACAGGAACAAGGGGCCTGACAGGCAGCTCCCACTGACTGCAGTAGAAGCGCTATGTGCTTTTCTCCTCTGAAAACCCGACTGGTTACTGTGAGGCCAAAATACGGCTCTAACTTTAACCCTTCAGAGCTAATATCTGTCTGTTAGCTCCATTGCACCAATACAGCACTTAATAATGTTTGACACAGAGTGTTTCAGGGAGCATTAGTGCTAACTTCTTCCTGCCCTCTCGCATTTTGCTGAGGATGCCTATCCATGCTCAAAGCCTGCTCTCTAGTGAAGCTCTGGCTTTCCCAAAGATCACTTGTCTCTGTGTATAAATTCAATATTAGCAGATATAGAAGAGGGACTTTGTGAAATCAGTCATCTTTTACTCATCTGTATTGCCAACCATCCTTCTTTTATCATGTCTTATGTGAGCTTTTCCTCAAATCCGCTGGTATTAAAGAAGTTGTTTCAGAATTTCAGTATGGAGGAAGCAATCCTGACTTTCCCCCAAGTTTCTAGTCCTCTTGGCAGTAAAGGCTTGAAAACATGACTCAGATGTACATTAAAGTTTCAGAAAAGAGCAGAAAAAGAAGTCAGCACTGGTCTTTTATTTTATCTTATGATTTTTGTGGCCTGACACATGATTTTAAATGCTTGGGAGCACTGATAGCAGTCTGCCTCCAAAAAGGGCATAACAAATCTCTAGGCCAAGTAGGGTCAAATGCAGTAGTGACAGGAACTGCCTTAAAATATGTTTAGTATATCTGAGCTTCAAGCCAAATACCAAACAGCAATATCTGTCCATCACCATTGACCTATATTAGATCTCATAAGTCAACTTACAGGATAAAGGTTTTGTATCTCATTTTTAATCTCTTAAACTAGCCCTCCGTACCTGCCATTCTCACCTCTCTTAAATACTGTGTGTTTCTGTACTTGTATAATCACAAAGCTCTTTATGACTGAGGTTGAAGTACGTCTCATAAGGGAGATGGCAGCATCTTTTCACCATTCACAGAAACGCATCTGTCTCTGAAGTTATTAAAACCCATTGCAAGTTAATAAACAGTTAAATGACAGGAGAGGAAATGCTGATACCTTAAGCAGCACATAATTCTCTCCGCTGGAATTTGGCAAGGACACAGGGACTAAGGTCCTTACGGAAAGCACAAGCTGATCTTCAACAACCACAAGCATGTAGAGACTGAAGTGGTCCATTGCCTCTGCAAAACAGCACCCAGGTAGCACAGCACCCCCTAACTGCAGTGGCTGTGCACTAATCCGAAGGGGAAAGAAAACAGATTGAACCATCTGCACCGCCTCTGACCATCTCTAGTGCTCTTTGCCATGTCTCCCCCAGCACTAGGCAGAGGGGATCTCAGTTTCTCTTTGTCCACGCAAGTATGCAGGACCAGTCACACAAAGCCACACGGCAAGGTGGCCTAAACCCCACCTGACCATGAAAGCAGGACCAATCTGATTTATGTCCTGCCTGTCCTACAGCCTTATCTTCTCTTCCAGTTAATCCTTCCGGGCGCTTTTCAAAACCTGTTCTCAGAAAGGTCCACAAGCAAATGTTTTGTGGATAGCAGCCAAAGTGTTCTGCTTGCTCCTCATCACTCCCAGCCATTGGCAAATAGCCTTGTATTCTTGCTTCCAAGCAGGGAACCACTACAGCCTGCATCTCTCCGGTTAAACACACAGTGCTATCTAAAGAAGAGATAAAGTTATCTCTCTACATCTCAGTAAAGTTCCTGTCTGCAGGAGTACTGGCTTGCCACTGAAAATAATCCTTAGCAGAAAAAAAAGTCTGTTCTCAAACTATCTCCCATACACTAGTCAACCTTCTAATCTTTTCCTGTTTTTCCATAGTGATAGGTTGGAAGTTTGTAAACTCTTTGTGACACCTGACCCCTCATTTCTTCCCAAAATTCACCCTGGCATACTTGGGTTTATTTCGTCGATCTTGAGCACACTAAGAGCAAAGCAAGGAATACCTGTAATTCTCTCACTGCTTCTTCCCCTGCTCCAGGATTTCAATTGTACCAGTCAAACTTACAACCTTCTCAATAAACACGTAACAATCGAGTCTTTCATTTCATGATCCTACACCATTGGGCAACAGGACAAGCTATTCAGCAAATAACAGTTTTTATAAAGGGAAAGGAACTTCGTTTTCTACCCCCAGTGCTCCTCTGAACAGCAGAGATAAGTAGGTTGGAACTGTGAACCATCCCACAAACAAAACTTGAGACAATGTCCTCTTTTCTCATGGCCGAAAAACGCTTTTAAAAAAAAAAAAAAAAAGCTATGGGACTTTCTTTAATAAATTTTACTGTCCTAGCATAATTTCAGCTGCAGTAATTATGTTCCTCCCTCTTAAACCCTCCTTGCTGCTTCAACCAAATACACAGTCTGTGCCTGCGTTCCCCAACCTGATTTTTGGTGTTCCTATAAGCAACTGTAAATGGTTTCCACCAAGGTAGCTCTGTTTTAGTACTCAGCAGAATTTATGTACCTGTATCTTGCACTGGAAAAGGGTTAACGGTCCATTAAGTCCATTATTTTTGTTATTTCAATTCAATTCAATTGCCATTCAGAGCTCTTATATGTGTTAAAATATACAGTAAATTATTACTATTGACACAATGAAATCGAAAGACTGATCCTCCCAAATAACTAAATAAAAACGCATACATAACATGTTGATTTAGCAATACATGTCTCTTCACTGTGCAATGGAAGGGACTGCTGCATTATGTAGTCCATCCCTCAGCCAGTGCAGTTCCACCCTGTACTTCATCAGCCATGTTCATCAGCAAGTGAAAGACCTGATTGTATGGCCCTCCTCGTACAAAGCTGACATTGCTGCTAGAAGCTCTTTTGCTCAGAGTAGCCTGACTTTGTAAGAGTTAGTTAATTCAGGCTGGAACATAATGCTAACATCAGGGACTGGAAAAGGCATGTATTTATTTTTCCCCTTTCTAAACTGCTAGTCTTTCTGTATGCCAAACTTCCAACTGCTTCTCTCATTTTCTGACCATTAAGAAAAATTGTCCTGCCTCTTCCTTCAACCAAGAGTGATCATTTTGAACTCAAAACCTTCTGATCTTCCTGGAGTTACCTCTTGTCTGGGCTACTATATTTTTATCTGATATCTGGGCAAAAAGGAGTCGGGAGAAGGAGGAAAACAGGAAAGAAAGACAGCAGAAAGGGAAATGAAAACATTAGCACACATCTCACTCCTACCTCCTTCACCACCGCCGCCACCACCCACAGCCCTGTGCCCGTTCTCAACGCAGCTGTAAGGGAGTAGTATGGGAATCAAGGAGGGGCAGATGGGACCTCTAGTTCCTCTTTAAAGGCCCTGGAGCAATCTCTATTTTCATGGACTTCAGGAGAAATTCTAAGCCTGGAAGGAGGCAATGCTAAGTCTAGTTCCCTCCAATTTGTAGGTCTAGATCCCTAACAGCCTACTACTCCCTTCCTCAGGGCAGGAGGAAAGGAGAGGGCATCACAATGTATGACTGGACATCTCTGCCCACGTTCACACAACCTGAGAGCCCTAATCCAGCTCTTTCCCCCCGCACCGTGTTATTCATGCAAGGGTCATGCAGATGCGTCACCAAAGCAATCTTCTGCTTTTTCATTCATTGTGAGTAATTAAGCAATGACTCCACTTCCCGGGGATAACACAGCTCCAGGTCCTCTAGCCCTCTCCCTTGGGAAAGTTTTCATTTTTAGTCCTACCAGTAGAGAAGAGGACACACGTTCTGCTCCTCCGCAACCAGAGTGAGAAAAAAGAGGCATTTACCGTCCTGCCCAGAGCTCTCCAGGTATTCCGTCAGGTCACAGCCGAATGCGCTCGCGGCTCCCTTCCTCTTGAGTTTCTGCTTGGCTCCCTTGTTCTTCATGAGTTTAGTCCCAAAAGAGGTTAGTCCCCCTCCTGCCTTGCCCCCCTCCCCCCCTCGCCTCACACCGGGCGACAAAAAGCTCGCTTTTCTCCTCAGACCACCGCCCGTGTCCCGCTCCCAGGGAGCAACATCGGGGGTCCTGTACAGCGTCCAGGCAGAGAAATAAACATCAATCCCCACCAGATGTTGGGCTGCTCCTGCGGCAGAGGAAGGTCAGGGCGAGAAGAGGTTCCCCAGCCGTCAGCAGCAGAGATCATAGCCCAAGCCCGGAAGGGTTCTCATCAGAGGGAAGTGGGTGGTGGACGAGCGCCTGCATCGGAGTTGGCAAATTGGGGGCAAGCGATGGTGGAGGGTGCCTTTCCCTCAGAGCTGTCCCAGGACCCTCCGCAGCCACCCTCTGGGTTTTGTCAGCGATTCTGTCGTTGCCTCCAGGAGAAAACTTCCCAGTTTGATCTTCCTTCTCTCGGCTTCCAGTCCAGAGGAGACTGGAAGTTCAAAAGGACTAATGAAAAGTGACCGGGGAAGAGGCTGCACAAGGCTCCTCTTTGGCTCCCCCCCTTTCCCTCCTCCTGCCTTCAGACAGTTAGAGGAATGAAAAGCCAGCTTCCTGTCCTGACTCCGTCTCTCTCTCTCTCCCTCCTTTCCCCCGTTTTACAAATCCTAGGATTATCCAGCTCAAAAAAAAAATGCTGAAAGGAAGTTAGCTGAGGAGGGGGGCGGAGGACGCTTTTTTGGCAGTTAAGTGCATGTGTGTGTATGAAAGATGCTGAGTGAAGGCGGAGAGAGGAGTTGTGGGACGGGGATGAGGACAGGGGGGAGGAAGAGGGAAAGCGTGTCCTGACAGTCAACAGATAACGGACTGCCTAAAAGGAAATCACTGCTCTCCGAGTGGGAGCCGCAGCTCGAGATCAGAAGCTTCCTGTGCTAAAAACGCTCAGCTTTGAAAAGGCCCGAGGAGGGGCTGGGGAAGAAGAGAGAGCGGGAAGGGTTTCAGCCAAGGTCTGTCTGCGCTCACTGCTTCTTTTGCCATAAGACATCTTCCTGCCCTGGAACGGGACTTTGCCACTTCAGGATTTGCCTTCCTCTCCAGAGGTACGGGCTGGAGCAACCAAAGTGCAAGAAGGGAGCAGAAAGTTGGGAAACTAAAAAAGGAGGGAGGAGAGAAACCTTCAGCTCCCTCCTCCCAGCAAGCAGAAACAGATGCCGTTATGGCTTTGAGTTCATGTGCTTTCAAATGAGCTCCCAGAAAAGGCTCCCATTGACTGAAGAAGGGTTTAGAAACATGAAACCGAAATCACCCAATATCTAGTGACAAGAAGTGCCTTTTTAGTCTAACCGTTAGTGCCCACACATTACTGCTTACAGTAAGAGCAGACACTCATGCTTTTTCCATATTTTTCATCCCAGAAAGTCAGAGCTCTCTACAGAGCTGGGTATGCTGGTGGGCCACACACATCCTCACGTAGGGAGGCAAATTTAACTTTGATAAAGCTTCACTGCCCCCTCTTGCTCCAAACCAACCATAACTGCAGGGCTTCAGTGAAAAATAAACAAACAAATACAAACAGAAACATGCTGCTTTTCACCAAAAATCAATAATGTGCTGACTTAAGAGAGGTACAGTAGGTTTGGAGAAAAATTGGCCATGAAATGGGAGAAGGAATCCCTTAACCAAATTACCTCCTCGAATCTCAGGTCCATACCATCATGCCTTAATTTTTTCCCACAGACCTCTCTGCAAAGGTCCTATTCCATCCCTCAATATTGACAAATTAGTGTTTCTCAGGGAAATCAAGCCTGCATCATGATCTGATTGCTGTCAAAAGCCATTTTGGTTCTATTTGCCCATTTGCTAATAGCATGTCTTTATTTTTCTTTCTTCTTTTTAATTTCCCGTCCCCGCCCCACCCTCGCCCCGCCTTTTTTTTTAGTGGGTGGGAACTTAAGATATCCCATAAAAAGAAAAAGAATGAAAAAAATAAGAGTAAGAAAAAAAAGACCTTGAACATTTTTAACTTCTATTGTATGGTTTATCATCACATTTATCCTGATTATCCCCATTTTAGAGCAAGATAACTGAGGGGAAAATGTTTTACCCCATGGCCACTGAAAGAATTGGAGGAAGAGGAATATCACAGAGAAGATTTCCGGTCTGTCAGCTCCCAGCCTTTGCTATCTCCCCTTTTTCCCAGGTTAAGGGAGAAAAATAAATAAATAAATAAGACTTTCAGCTAACAAATGAGCACCGGCTCACAGAGATCTTTGTTGCTCACAGAACACTTAAAACTTCCTTGAATTTATTCTGGACCTCTTGTAGCGCCTTGATGTTAATTCAGCATATGGGATCTGCTCCTATGACACAGCGATGCCAAAGCCATCGCATGCCCCAGTGCTTCCTGCCTACCCGCCAAGGGGAGCGGTTCAAACGGCTCTGGCAGCTGCCTCAGACAAAACAACTCACATCTGGATGCCTTGCCAAGCTGCACCCTAGCGATGCCAGTGGCCTGTTGGCTCCTGTCAGAGAAGAAATCCATCTGCTTGCCCCTTTGGGTAGCTGCAGAGGAAGCACGTCCTGCCTTCAGGAGGGAGCCAAAGGTATCTCAACACCTCTCCAGAAGGACCCACTGCTTGCCACAGTGAATTACCATCTTCTTGAAGGCATATGATTTCAAAATCCTCATTTCCCTTCTGCAGATACCTACCTTCTTCCTCTACCAAAATGGGCAGTGTTGGTCCTCCCAGTCAGTATACCTGAGATGCCCCACTAGCAGTGACCATCTCCATGGTTCTTACCCCAGTACCTTCTGCCTGTCATCTCACCTCTGGCAGACACAACGGCTGGCCCTCACCTTCAGAAGCATTTTGCCAACTGGCCTCGGCCTGGCCTCCATCTACTGCTTCAGAGCTCACCTTGTGAGCTCCATTTTAGAGGGTAAACCCTCACTTGCATGCTTGCCACTCATCTCCCACACCCAGAGAACCAGACACCATGGCCGAGGGGAACAGGAGCTGGAGAAAGAAAGCGATGGAGCAGGCCAGGTGAAAGAGACCTTCAGGATATACCCTGAGAAGTGAAGGCGCCAAGGGCCCTAGAAGAGCTCTGACCAAGCAGAGGTGAGTGAGGGGGACATCTGTCACCACACCACAGTTTGGTTCAGTGAAAGGACAGCCAGGATGGCCCGGGAGCCCAGACCAGGAGGAGGAGGTCAGGCAAGGTAAGCTGTGAGCAAACAAGGGAGGCTTTGCAAACAAAGGGTTTTGTATCAGAGTCTGAAATCAATCCTGAGCCAAGGGATTTTTCTGAAGGAAGGGGATGATGTGCTTCTCCACAGAGGGGGAAACACACACACACACACACACACACATAGAGCCTAGATTTGAGTAGGCTTTGAGGCAGGGAAAGACCCTGCAATAATTAAGATGAGCCATAAGGTTAAGAAGTAAACTAGTGTCAGTCCTAGAAAAAGCGTTTGCAGATAAGAACATGCGAAGTAGGAAAATAAGAAAAGTCCGAGACAGAAGTATGGAAAAGCAAAACAAAGTTCAAAGCTGAACCAGCTGGAAAAGAGGGGATAATTTTCATCCCTTTAAAAAAAAAAAAAAAGTCATTTCACAAAAGAAAAAGAAGACCAAGTCAAGCCAGAGCTCTTGCAGGAACAAGCTTTCTGTAGAGATGACTTCCTAGTCTCTGCTGTAATACCAACATTGTACAGCCTGCCTGCTCCACAGCACCTCTGCCCCAGTCAGGAAGTCAAGGCCCACAACATTTACTTTAAAACCCTTCCTCTGAACCTATAAAAATAGGTCAGGATCTGAAGTCAGTCACAAAGGCTGCACATTCATGCAGGAAGGGGGGGCATCTTCCCAGCCAGTTGATCCAAGATGCGTCACACTTCAGCTTGGGAGCGGATATGGCCGGCATTTGGACATAAATGAATGCAGGACAATTAATCTGATCTTACACTTCTTTCCATTATCACAGGTGAGGCACCTGCGGGCCTAAGAGCAGTCGAAGAACTTGGGAACCTGCTTCGATCATTAGGCCTAGGTATCTCTTCCCCTGCTAAGAGCCAGGGCCATAGCAGAGGCACCACACAGGCTATTTCTAGGTACTCCTCTCTCCCCTCCCTGCTGCATTTCCTTCATTGTATTCAGCTCTTTCCTATCCACAGCTTTAAAATCTCTGCCGATCTGCCAGGCGCCACTCAGCACAAAGAGTGGGTGGGGGCAGGGTGAGTGGAAGAACCAGGGGGGAGGGAAAAAAAAAGAACCCCTAAAAATAACCGTGCCGAGTAAGACTGTTTTCCTGACACAGACAGTGCATTGTTAGACCCTGACACGCCATTTCAGCCTCCCTCCCTCCCTACCCCTCCGCATACTCTCTTTCCTCTCCTGGCTCTCTCCAGACCAGTTTCCTGTCTACTCCCATCAACATGGGCCGAAGCTGGAGCGTATTGTGAAGTCTAAAGGCTGGCGTCGAACCTTTTGTTTCTTTGGGTACATGCTGGACAACAACTCACTGGGCTATCCTGCATTGTCCCTTGTCCTGGGACACCCGCCATTTTCAGCTCCTAATTTCATCTTGTTGCCAGTCATAAGTCTTGTGCTGTCCTGTCTCCTCACTCTGCCCTGGCTTTTACCTCCCTTTCCACCTTCCAGAGGACCCTCTTTCCCCATATCATAACACACCGTCTTGTGTGTATCCATCTGCCTCATGAAACTGCTTTCCCACCACAGACACTAGTAAAACCTTTTGGGTAGGTACTACACAGATCCAGCAGATGCAGACCCCCTACGAATGAAGGAAGCACCTCATATTCCCATGATATCAAGCCTTCGACCTGTGGCTACCTATGAAGGTTTATCTGAGAGAAATGGCAGACCCATTCCTAGAAGGTGCTGTTCATGATTTCACATGGTGCTGTGATGCCATCACAGTGATACCATAAAAGACAGCTAAAAGAGAACAAATAGAACATCATACTCACCAAGAAGGTACTCGACTTCCTACTTCACTGTTGGGGGAAG